CGTTGCGAACGTGTGGTTGAGCTCGAAATCTCGCTTGACGAGACAAGAGAGCAGTATAACAACGTGCTCCGCTCATCCAACAACCGGGCCCAACAGAAAAAGATGGCCTTCCTGGAGAGGAATCTTGAGCAGCTTACTCAGGTTCAGCGCCAGCTCGTCGAGCAGAACTCGGCACTGAAGAAGGAGGTGGCCATTGCTGAGCGTAAACTCATTGCTCGTAACGAGCGCATCCAGAGCTTGGAGAGCCTGCTACAGGATAGCCAGGAGAAGATGGCTTCTGCGAACCACAAGTACGACCCCCTTGCGATCCATGTTTCTGTCTACCCTTCAATCTCTCAATCTCTGTTGTCCATTTCTGCTTTGCGCCGTACCATTGCTAACGATTCGTACCCTATAGGTTTGAGGTTCAGCTTGCTGCTGTCAAGGAGAGGCTAGAGGCAGCCAAGGCTGGCAGCACTCGCGGCCTGAACTCTCCCTCGCTGGGCGGCTTCAGCTTCTCTGGTGCTGGCAGCCGCATCGCCAAACCCCTCCGTGGCGGTGGTGCTGATAACCAGGGACCTTCCATCCCTGTCATCAACAGCATCCAGCAGAACGAGGGCAGTGCCGGCAAGCGAAGCAGTTGGTTCTTCTCTCAGAAGTCTTAAGTTGCATACCGCATGCCCTGTTATACCCTTGATCCTTGGGGCACCCTGACGTCGAGAGACCGTACAGGGAGATACGCCCTTACCCTTCGAATAGACACACGACAACGTACAAGTTAGATTACAGCTTGGTGCGGACTAGACCACTATACCCCCGCTGTGTTGATCCTGGCGGCGGCAAGACCCCCTTGCTCTTCACAGAGGCCTTTCTTCACCTTGGATTTTCTTGGTCAGTATCCTGGAAAAGAAGAAGACGACGAAATTCGCAAAAGATTCACATGCAAGCTCGAGCACAAATTACGGAACTGGGAAAGAAGAGGCTTCCCTCTCTCTTTTGATGTTGAATTTTCTTCTTCCTCCTTTTCTTTTGTTTGGGCGGGTCTGCATTGCTGTTGGATTCTGGCTTGACAAGCAAGTTTCTGGGCGGTCTTTTGTCATTTTCGGTCAAGAAAGGAGGATTTTGGTGGCCGTGGGAGGGGGGAGGGTCGAAGGGAAATGATGAGATCCCTTTTGTGCGTGTGAGGGCGGACAACCGACACCACGAGAACATACAGGATGGATGAGAAGAATGGCTGACCAGGCAAAACATTTTTTGCCTTTTCGCCGCCGCTGCTGCATTGTCTGGGGAGTTGGTATTGTTCACGAAAGGACCTCACTACTTATGAAACCCAAGACATTTGACGGTTTAATGACACTAGAAAGAAAGACTTTAGCTGCTCACGTTCTGATGATGATTATGGTGATGCAGTGATCTCAATCTTTCAATCTGTTTTATTTGGGGTATGGAGTTGTGATCACAAGACACAAAGCAGAGACTATCCAGCTAGCTAAGAGACGATTTAGTGCATGGTGATGCGCAAATACAACTACAGCCTATCAAGCTTTATCCGCTTTCTTCCCATCAACGCATCCTTGCGAGCCTTGAAGGGGGTAATTGATTACATAAGTGCAATTGCCGAAGAGTTTGAGATAGATATGGCGCCTGTTGATTTCATATGCTAGCCAAATGTTTATTTAGCGAGCTTGCTGAAGACGATAATCTCGGGAATGACAACGGCGGCCATGAGTGCGAAAGCGGCAAAGGAGACGGCAAAGATCTTGACGTAGAGGATGACGAGGCGCTTCCAGGCGTTGCGGGAGAAGCCGCTCCAGGCGTCGTCCATGGTAGCGTAGCCCTTGCCGCCGACGACGCGGGGCTCGACCTTGCCCTCGAAGGAGCGGTCAAAGGGGATGATGGTGTTTGCCTCCTCGGGGATGAGGGAGGCCTGGACGCGGACGAGGACGACGTGGGCGGGGATGACGATGATGATCTGGAAGGCGATGCTGATGAGGGTGATGACGATGCTCTTCCAGGCGTCGGAGCTCTGGGGCTGGGAGACGACCGAGTTGGGCTTGCCGAACTGGAAGTTGGGGAGGTCGAGGCCGAGGGCCCAGCCGACGGCGATGGGGACCCAGGTGGCGACCTGCTCTGCGAGCCAGTAGGCGGCGACGGGCTTCGCGGTGGCGTCAAAGGTACGCTTGAAGGGCGGGAGACGCTTCCAGAAGTAGTCGGAGCTCGAGGGGGTGATGACGATGTGGACCCAGACGGCGGAGAGCTGGACGAGGGCGAGGGCGGAGAGGAGGGTCGCGAGGGAGGCGAGGATGTCTGGGAGGAAGGAGGAGAAGATGCCAAAGAGGAAGTTGGTCGCGAGGGCCTGGACAAAGTAGACGCCGAAGCCGCGGAAGTTTGAGCGCCAGCCGCCGTAGGTGGTCAGGAGGCGGTTGATGGAGCGGATGGAAGAGGTGACGGTGGTGGGGCGGCCTCCGGTCACCTTAGTCTGGGGGACGGGGCCGTCGGGGCGGACCTCGGGGCCGGCGGAGGGGATGGCGCCTTCATCTTCGGCGAGGTTGACGGGGTCGTAGGCGGGCGGGTTCTCGTCCTCGACGATGGCGAAGATGGGGTAGACCTGGTGGAGGGTGTATGATGTCTAGACAGTGCATGTGTTAGCGATAAAGGGTTCATCATATGAAGAGCCAGACTGAAAGTGGCCTCGGGAGGGGCGGGAGACAAGGCTTACCCAGAGGATGATGGGAAGGAAGACGATGAAGTCGGCGAGGAAGACCCAAAAGGACCAGCCGGGAAGCTGGGGTTCGCGAGGAGTCTCTTCGACGGCCCTCTTATAGACGGCGTCGGCAAAGTGCTGCAGTTGCGTGTACATGTTTGCGGTTTGCTCGGCTCCCAAAGTCAAGACTGCGATGATGATGATGATGCTGGGAAAAGTACGAATGTTGGAGTTTGAAGGTTCTTTTAAATGAAGGGAAAAGATGAATCGTTAGGAAATGGAGGGGTGTCAGACGTCAAAAGGGAAACGAGCTCTAGGCGGCGGTTCACTTGAACATGTCACTGGTCACTGCGCAGCTCCTGCGTCGGGGGGTCACCTCACCTCAATCTACTGAGCGAGGTACTTCGTTGTGACGCGTGAGACGCATTGGGGAGGAAAGTACCTTGCAGAGGAATTACAACCTTACCAGTACCTAGGGAAGTACGCCGCCCGGGATCTTGGGGAGGCGTGGATGCACGACCTAGTGGATAGCGGCAGCTTTCCACCAGGCAGCAGGCTGACACAGCCACTCTCCGTGCCCCACTAAATCCTTCCACATCGGACATTTCGCCTCCCAGCAGCCAACGGAATGGGCGGTATCGTGGAACGGAGTAATGGCGATGCGCCGCGCCATACGGTCTCTGATTCTCGGACAAGCGAGGATCCAGCGACGAGTGACGAAGAGCGAAGACCATTGAAGCGATTCTCCGGATCGAAGCCAAGATTATGAAAGTAATAAAGTTGTCATTCCATGACCATCCTGGCTCTGAGCGGTACCGCTGGGCAGGGCTGTTGGGCTGCTGGAACTAGGTTTCTGTGCCGCCAGCTTGCATGCCTGCTTACCTGCAATGTCTACAACTTCACGCCGGCTCGCGCTCTTCCACTTGCTTCTTCCATTTTGTTCGTCGAGATCAGGGCAACGTTTTGGCGCCCGGCCAAGGTTGACCTTTTTACGAGGCTGTTGACTTTGGGATATTCGACGCTTGCGTCGCCTTATTCCTTGACGGCTCTGTTCGCCATTTGGTCTTTTGGGGGAGAGGAGGCCGCCTGCTTGAAACCTGTTATTTGGCCTTTCCTTTCTCAATTTGTAGCATCCTATCTTTGCATGATTGGCATCGGACTCTGTTCGTCGGTTTCGAAAAAGTCTCTATGCCATCCGTGACATCGGACGATCCCTCCAAGAAAGTTTGCAGACCATCGAATAACGAGCGGCGCGTGTTCTTGAAGCTTATTCGGCCATTAGGTGCCCAACCCCGACATATCCGAAAGGATTCGGACATTTGGTTTGGGGTTCTTTCAGACACTGGCCCCCTTAGAAGTGTTTTTGTTGACGATGTCTACCTTACAACTCATTGGTAAAATGTTGAGCCATGCAGGCTCGGTGTTGATTGTACCTTTTGGTCACCACGTTCCGAGAAGACTACATTATAGTTCGAGTATAACTCATTAAAGCCCAGCTTTGAGGTTCTGGCATTCGTGTCTGCATGTAGACTCCTCTCAAATTGGCTCGACAGATCTGTAAGCAGTTGTGTTAGTACCATTGCTGTGTAGATGTTCTTCTCGCTGCCATGTCTTGATTTCGTTGGCAAAGTGTATGTTTCGGTGACTCGGAATGTGATGTCATTGAGCAGTCAGTGTCAGACTTTGTAATCCTGATCTACCAGTGGTCGGTCCTGTCAACTCATCGGATGCCATCATGCTTTTGGCTCTCGACGTATTCTTCCTGATCATGGTACCAGGTAGAACGCTTTTCGTGTGGGCTGGAAAGAGAGAAATGAATGGATCCGGTCCAGGTAATAGTCAATCCTGGGTGATTCATTACACTTCAACGCCAAAGGCGTTAGGTAGCTTCTGCATCTTTCTGATCCTCGGCATTCGCAAGCAGCGCTCTGATAGATGTTACATATTCGACAAGTCTTGGGTTTTCAGATCCGAATGCTCGTACGAGAGGTGAGTGCTGAAAAGGGCTTGGGTGTCTGGTATGAGTGAGTAGTGGTTTCGGCGATTTAATGCTCGGAACATAGGTACCTGGTCAAGCTTGATGACTAAGAAGTCAGTCAAACCGACAACCAAGTCTACAGGAACTTCAAAACTTACTCTAAGTTTCGAAGACTATTGCGGATATATCGTAAACTCTTAGCAAAAGATGGAAGACGACGTTGCGGGGAGTGCCAGGCACCGGCCCTTAGTGGACAACGGAGTCGGCTCCGAACCGTTAGAAGCGTCTAGGCACGGGCCATACCCTATTCCACTGATTGACACGCAGCGTTGCACTACGATGCCCCACCTAACAGTTTCCCTCCTACGTCACCCGCACCTACACTCACTAACGCTGCTCCCGGAACATCTTCCACCTCACGGCCGCTCCCCCGCAACAACATACCTCATGTCTGGAAATCCAATACCGAACCTGCTCTCACTCCGCGGAGCGAGAGGTGGCCGGGTTGGTCGCGGGCGCGGAAGAGGTCCCGGCGGCGGCCCCTCATTCTCGGGCCCGACTCACGATCAGACGATTCAAGGAACTGACGATGACGCTGCCGGCTCACGTTTGAGTTCTGTCAATGTGGGATATCTCGCCGACCCATACGCACACTTCTTTGTCGATAACATCAATGGACCCCCTCCAAGGAGACTCCCCATCATCAATCGAGGTCCGTGTCTCTGGTCTGCTTCCGTCGAGTGTGGAGGTTGACCGCTATCTCAGGCACTTATACGAGGACCGTTGCTCTCGATAATCTCATTGACAGCTTCTTGGACGAGTCTGACAGTGCGCAACCCGGTTCAAATGAGAGACAAATTATTTCACTAGGCGCTGGCACCGACACACGCCCATTCCGTCTCTTTTCCAGGGCAAAAAGGCCTCAGCTGGTCTACCATGAGATAGACTTCTCAGTCACAGTTCGCAAGAAGGCACGTATAGTGCAAGCAGCCCCTCCATTGCGAAACATCCTCGGAGTCCCCTCGGTCGAGGAAGACGGTTCATGGAGCTGTCAGCCATCCGCGTCAGACAAATACTATTGTCATGCACGGGATCTCCGAGAAATGGTGCAAGACGGCGCAACACCTCTTGCGGGTATCAGAACAGACATTCCTACTCTACTCATCTCAGAATGCTGCCTCTGCTACCTAGAGACATCTATAACGAAGCAAGTTGTATCTTTGTTTGAGCAAAAGATTCCGAATATCGCCATTGTGGTGTACGAACCAATCCGGCCTGACGACCCTTTCGGCAAAATGATGACCTCCAACCTCGCAGCAAGGAGAATACACATGCCTACTCTGGAGAATTACAAGCTGCCGCAGGATCAGACGCAGCGTCTCCGCGATGCAGGCTTCGAACACGCCAAGGCGCTGACCGTGGAACGGATTTGGGAAAGCTGGGTGTCAAGTGAGGAAAAGGAGAGAGTGGACCGTTTAGAGGGCCTCGACGAAGTGGAGGAGTGGAAGCTGTTGGCTGACCACTACGTTATCGCATGGGGATGGAGAGGCGCCGGATTTACGATGGAAAATGCCGACGGGGAGCTGTGAGTGACCCAAGTAAGCCGCAAGACAGCTGTGCCGCTTCGCTTAAGCAGAGACATTATTAAATTGAGATGTGTCTCAAACCGGCAAACCAACGCTGAACTGTCAGCTACCCCCCTTTCTGACAATTGATTTATTCCCCCTTCGTCAACAACCTAATTGAGGCTCTGCTTGGCTTCTCGGACTTGGATTTTGATGGTTCTCTCTCGAGTCACCATGATTACGGGGACGTTGCATGCGTGGTCCTAGGAACCTCTCCCAGGTCGTCTCTTCCGAGGTAATCACGTCTATCATTAGTACTTTGAGCAGCCAAGCTGCAGTTGGCCGCTGTAAAAGCAGAGCTCACCTACTTTGACGGTTTAACCCAACTATCTCGGCCAACACCTTCCCAGCCCGGCGTCTTTTCCGTTCCCGCGTCGGTTGGAAGCCGGCCCACGGCTTCCGACTTCCTGATTGTCGTTGGTTGGTGACGGGCTTGGTGTGCGTTCTTGCACCAACCAATCCTTCCCTTTCCCTATCAGGACTCCAAACCCACTCTTCTCTAGCAAACAATGCAAGTGAGCCAACCTCGCCCGAGGAGGTGCTTTTTGCCTCATCCAACACGTTTCTGTCTTCTGTTGACGCAAGCCCACCCGCGATGTCTCTGATTATCCTTCTTCATCCTCGCCGAGTGCTTCTGTTTCGACTGCGATATCTACCGAGCGACTGAAGCGACAATGGCCGCGAGAATACTAGACATACTTCCGGCTGAGACTCTCATCAGCATCGCGGGGCATCTCGACGGCATTGCCGGACCGGATTTGTCCTACTTTTCCCTCACCAACAAAGCCTTTCATACAGCCGCCGCTTGCTTCTTGTTCCGCGACATCCACATCCTCGTCAAGCATCCTCGGAGACTACAGCGCGATGTCGATTCCTGGCTCGCAATTCTGGGACGCACAAACTCCGCCAGGCATGTCAGGCGCCTGAAGATGACCTTCCTGGACAAGTCGCTCCCTCACAGTGATCTCTACTCGCCTGATCGACACATGATACTACCGGTTTCAAAGGAAACCTCGCTCGATTTCAAGCATAGGTCGCCCGAGAACCGACGCCTCCGCGATGCCTTTGTCGATCCCGAAGCGTGGACTCCCATGACCAGACTGCTCGAAGCCCTGCCCGGACTGGCCAACATGGTCATTGAACATGAGAGCAGCTTTTCGCCTCTTCTCCTCGAAACCATTCGCACGCATCACCCAAGTTGTCGGCTAGAACTCAATGGTTTCGATCTTCACTGCAGCGAAGGCGCTGCGATCAATGCGCATGATGTTGCACTTCTACTTGCACCCCAATTGCATAGCATCTCTATAAAAGAGTATTACCAGACGTCCATTGCACATACAAACGAATCGGTTATGCTACGTCTCATCGGAGGCCTATCACCGAATCTCAAGACAGTAAAGCTGGAACCCTTCTTCGGAGGCAGACATAAGCGAAAATACGACGCAGATTTCGAGAATGAGTTGCAAGCGTTGATCGCGCAAACACTCGACCACAGTTTCATACCTGGGAAGGATCTGTCAAGCATCTTGAAGTCACCAGAGCTCGGTTCACTGCGTTCTCTGACACTACAGAAAACCAATCCCGATAGGCTCAAGGCGTGGTCCAGGGCGACGGACTTCGCGGCACTGCGTCATCTGAGATTGACCGCAAGTCCTGGAGAGTTACCATGGCTTACGACGCATGCCAGATTCCACAAACTCGAAAGCCTAGAGTTAAACTACAATGAAGTTATTGTTGGCCCCCGACCTGCTTGGGAGGGGGTCGCGAACCGTGGAGACGTCGCTGTTGAGTTCCTAGCCATCATGCCAGCCTTAACATCCCTCTCGCTCGAGGGCAGAGTACCTTCACCAGCCGTCCAGTTTGCGTTGTCCAAATTTGGAGGATGCCTGCGCAAACTAAGCATTCGGCCCTCCTACGGCTCTCATTCCATGCAGGAGTATCCCAGAATCGCGCCGCAGGACTTATGCGTGCTATCTAAGACATGCATGTGGGTGCAGGATCTGACGGTCACGATCACTGTACCTACGTTCCAAACGAGCTCATCAGAGATGATAGAGGCAAGTGAGTGTCTTGGACGGATGCGGAGCCTCCGAAATCTCTACCTGACACTTCGACATTCTGAACTTAAAGTGCGGGCTGGAGATGGCGGGTGCAGACGAAGAGCTCGTGCGTATCAGAGAAAACTCGAAACGACGATAGAGGCACATGCGGCGGGGGTGACACCCGCGGAGGTTGCCAAGTCGATCTGGGAGACAATATGTGGACAAGGCTGCCGCTTGGAGTTACTTCAGCTTGACACTATAGGTGACTGGGGTGGCACACGCAAGTCTGACCGTGTTCATCAGATTCGTAGAGTCGGAGCCATGGGTGAAGGTTTGGTGGAGACCGCCTTGTTCCGAGAGAACGGGAAACTATTTTGGAGAGACTGATCCACGAGAGTACTTAGATCTCATCATCGTCTTCGCTAGAGGCAGAGTTCATCTGAGACTCGACGTGAAAGTGCGGATATCGTTTGCAAGGACCATGTTGGGGTTGTATATAAACGAGACAGTTTGTACTTGACTTCACTTTAGGACATATTTACCAATTTTCGACATTGGTGTCTGTGTGAGCTATACCCAATATCGAGTATCTTTGTCTCTGCATACAATTCAATCATCTCGACCTATTAATGGCTCCTCTACAATAATGTCAACGCCTCTCAAGAGCGGCGTTTCTCCGATTTCGATGGAACGCAGCACTCAACGCCTCTGCAAGGCGAAACTGGCTTATCATTGAATGAGCACTACTTCATCGGGTAAGTACTCGTGCCGTTATCTGCGTTCTGGAGCACAGAAAGTCTTAATAGGCTTGATTCAGTTTGGTAGAGACTGCTTGACAAGAATCGTCCTCGTACCAGGACTGAGTTCAACTAGAAACATCACTTCCGATAGACACTTGGCACAAAGGGTGTTCAATGATCGTTCCAAGGCACAGGAGAAGCTTGTTGCTAACCTTTTGACGGGGTCTCTGACATCATCCATTCTCAACTCGAAGCTATAAGGTATCTTTACTCGTCAAGGCATTCCACAGCGGGGAACTCCCGTCCACCAAGCCATCACCATAATTGAGGGGTCCATCTCTCAAACTCGGCCCAGCACAAAAACACAGAGAAGCTGCATCTCTCGCCACACAGAACAGACAAAAAGCGTAACAAAAGACCCATTCATCATCAGCCCATCCTCTACTTCAGTAGATGTACCTGAACCCAGCAGCCCTCCTCTCCTGCTTCAGATCGACGGGCGCGGCCTTCTCGCCGCCTCCCTCGGCCAGCGCCGCGGCGTCGTCGAGCTCGGCCTTTTCGAGCTTCTTGTTCTCCCACTTGTGCAGGTAGCGGAGGATGAGGGCGAGAATGGCGACGAGGACGCAGATTGCCGTGTTGGCGCTGCCGCCAGGGACGTATTGGGGTCCCGTGCTGCTTGGGTACACTTGGATTGGTTAGTCAGTCTAATCAAGTACCGCTTGTAGCGTGATGGGAAAGAAAGGCTGTGAGAACTATCAACGCACTGTAAGATCCGTAGATTGTTGCCGTGTTGCCAATCATGTTGGCGATGGCGATGCAGGCTGAGCGCTTGACGAGTGGTCGTGGGAAGGAGTTTGCTACCCAAGAGACGATGATTTGATCTGTAGGAGTTATACCATTATCAGACGCTGTTCTTTTGTTGCTGGGGAGACTGTATCAGAGGACTTACATGCGGAGATGGCGCCCATGGGCATGAGGAACATGGCAAAGTATCGCGCGCCGAGGTTGCTCGAGCCGGTGGCGATGGCGTTTCCAGTGGCGGAGACGAGCGTAAGGCATACAATGTGAAGAGAACGGTCTTTAGTCTTTGCAGAGGACCAAGTGACGCAGAGCGAGATGAGGAACGTCGCGGCCTGTGGAAAAAGAGATTGTGAGCTTGGATATCGTCCCCGCGCCCCAGTCTGGAACGTAACCGGAGATCCCATCTAGGAAAGAATACAAACATACCCAAGCAGGCGCAGTCAGCCAAAGCGTCGTGATCTTGCCGTAGCCCAGCGTGCCGACAATGGTCGGGAAGAAGTACTGAAACGTCTGCGAGATGAGGGAGACGTGCTGCATCAGGACAAAGATGTAGAGGCGGTAGTCCCGCACGGCCATCTTGACGCCGTCGAGGACGCTCTGCTCGCCGTACGTGTCGGCCTCCTGGATGTCCTCGATGAGGCGCCAGGCGGCGTAAGCGCGCTCCTCCTCCGAGAGCCACTTGGTCGTGTGAGGGTAGTCTGGGAGGATCCACATTGCGACGAGGGAGAATGCGATGGCTGCTACGCCTTCCTGTGTCGATGTGTTTCCATGTCAGTCACTCTCTCTTTAGAACACTTTGTAATCGTTCCCACACAAGAGACAGGAATGACTCACAATGATGAATAACCACCTCCACCCCGCGATCCCCAAATCCCCCTCCAGACCGCCGAGGATGCCCGCGCCAAGGAGCCCGCCAAACATGTTGGCGAGGGCGTTGCCGGCGTAGAGGTAGGCGATGCGGCGGGTGAGCTCGGCGCGGGTGTACCACGAGGACATGAGGAAGACGGCGCCCGGGAAAAAGGGGGCCTCGACGAAGCCGAGGAAGAAGCGGATGACGATGAGGTGGGTGAAGGAGTCGGCGGCGGCGTTGCAGGTCGAGACAACGCCCCAGAGGCAGCAGGAGGCGGCGAGGTAGAAGGAGGGTTTGACTTTTGTGAGCAAGAGGTTGGAGGGGAGCTGCATCAGGAGGTAACCGACGAAGAAGATTGAGGTGGCGAGGTTGAAGTCGGTTCCCGTCATGCCCAGGTCCCGTTCGAGGGTGCCCTGACGGGCTTGGGCTAAGTTGGAGCGGTCGAGGAAGTTAAGGAGGTACTGTGGTTTCACTTCATGTCAGGACTATACGAAGCTTTTGATAGAATTTTTTTGTTTGTGCGTTCATGTTTTGAGACTCACCATGACTACGAGGGTCGGCATGAGGCGCCGGTCTACACGACGTAGGAGAGTCTTGTCCATGGCCTTATGCCAGGCCTCATCCTGGCTCGTGAAATGCTGAGCCCATTCCACGGGAGTCGGGTTCGAGGCCGTGGGCTTCACTACACTCTCGGTCTCGCCCTTCACAGTATTCTCATCCTGTTCTACGCTGGGCTTGTTAGTCTCCATAGTGCCGGCGACAGCTTCTGTTTCTTTTCTATATTTTCCGAGGGTCGTCGATGGTATGGCACGGGGGAAGACGATGAGTGAAAGGTTGGGATGACCTTGAGAAGCTTAAAACCCATGAAGGAACAAGATGAGGTAGTACAGGAAGGCAGAACCTCTCTGGTATAAAGCTACTTTTTAGTAGGATTTCCGTTACCCCGTGGGGAAGAGGGGGCAACACGGGAACTAATTCAATTACATGGGGAAACGATGAGGGGAAGCTTGCGGTATCAAGCTCGGTAAATGGACTACCGAAGGGAGTTGATGCAACGATGGAAGCGGCATTCTCGCCGATCTCGAGCGTGGGGTTGAGGAGGTTGGAGTTTATGACGCGTGTGTCGCAGGCATCGCATGCGGGTGAGCTGCAGATCAAAGCGACCACGCGCAACTCCAATTCGTCCGACGCACGCAACCCAAGACAATGGGCTTTCTCCACGTTTCCACGTTTCTTTTTAGGAGCCGGCACGAAAGCCGGAAGGGCTTGTTCAATCTCAAGGGTCATCTCATCCCCAAAGATGTAGTCTGTGGATGTTTAACCTCTGTTTGCCTGAGCGGGCAGTCGAGATCTGATGCGCGTGCCAATCAGATGAGGTTGCGGGCGGCCGATCTCTCAGGGTGCGTTTGGAGGCAGGGAGGTTACCCCTCAAATGGTTGACCCATCTCCAACTGTTGAACTTGCCATATTCGGGAACCCGTGATAAATCCGCCTTTTCCGTCTTTCAGTGAGACATGTGGAGTGTTCGTGTTGAAGTAAGACAAAGTAGTGGATAGTGTCTCTCCAGCTTCGTGAAAGAAATTCGAGGGAAACTCTTCCGGGTCTTTTGAGGCCTTGATAGACGCGACCGTATCTCTCTATATACTCAATATTAGTCTGCTCAAGTCTACCGTAATACTTCCTGTCATGTTGCTCCAACAAGACTCTAATTTTCAGTGGCAGAGGATGCAAGCATGAAACGCGGAAGCCTTATCCTTTACACTCTTCAAAAGGTGATGATCAAAGACTCGAACACATGTTTCCGCAGGTCGTGTCGCCCTTTATAGAGGTATCAGGGTGTGGCAAACTTCCATGAGCATCACTCTACCTCAACCTACGCGTCCATCTTAACTTCCTACCGTCTGAGAGGATGATGTGTATTGATCCCAGACAGCACGCAAGGATTAATTGGGGAAGCTGTCCCATCGCCCGCGCTCCTCTACGCTAGGCTGGGAACGACTGCCAGGAGCAAATTGCCTCAGAAAGACACTGAATAGCTCGAAGAAGTGACGGGAAGGCCATCTCCCATCTCATTGACAAGTGCCGACGGTATGGGGAATGCGGGTGATGCACATATGGAGGACAGGCTCGTTGCTTACTGAAACCTTCGGAGCTGTGCTCGGCATACCAAAGGAAGACGAGGCAAGATGGGCCGATCACTTGATACAGATATGGGCGCAAATATTGGTGCATGCCTATTTTTTCATAATTCTCCTTGTCTTCTCTCGACTTGTCTAATGCGACAGCCTTCTAGACTTGAGCGAGCTCATAATATGGCCTACTATATGGCCCTAAGGATGCAGCGGGCGGCCCTGGTTAGACCATGAAGTCTCCAGTTCTATTCCAGGGTCCATATCCGACCGTCGATCAGTCTGTTCTCTCTTTTTTCCTTCCTTGCTTGCTTTAATCTTGTCCAAGAAATCTTTTTATTATTCTAGCACTTCCCCTGGCAAATAAGATGGATGAAGTATGCGAGCGGGTTTTAGGAATCTACAGCCCGAAGTCCCCGACCATCCGGCCCGGTGCTTGCTTATTTCATCATGAGGACATGGAACTTCCTATAGGTAAGAGGGTGATAGGTAAGAGACTGATACCATATGATGTCGATGTACTCTCGAATGGAAGGTACGTATAATCGTGTCTTCAACCCAGCCCAGTGCTAGAGGCATAACATGGGTAATTCCACTCCATGAATAGGTCGGTAGGGACTGCCGCAAGTTAGTTTCTCCGACAGAATTTGATTACACTGCTTATTGCTCGGATTGGTCGTGTTGGAGATATCTTGAATATATTCGGGACTTCAAGTAAGCCATTAGTCGAGGCCAGCATGGCCAACGGCAAGACGTTTGCCTCCGGTATATGACAAGAAAAGACGAAGAGGAGCTGAGAAGGGTTGCTGGACGGCTCACGCTAATGTCGGGGAAATCCCATTGAAAGCTTTGAGAGATCCTTCAGTTACGTGTGGTTTAGTTTTGGTACCCTATGCTACGTATAGGAATACTTTCCGCTTTGGTCTTGGGAGATGTCGTCTACATTATCTAACTTCCATGGGCGCTTCACTTTACTTCTACGACAGCTGAAATCTACATGACTTTCCAGTGTCGAAAGACAATGGCGAATAGCAGATGATCCGGCGCACACTGTCTTCCCAGGTCTCAAAGGCCCAGACACTGGGGCATCCTCTCTCTCGACCACTGCGCAGAGACCCCTACTCAAGCACGAACTCATACTCGGAGACAAGAACGAGAGTGCACCCGCCGGGGAGACCTACCACGGGATTCCGCTCGACAGCGAACAAGTCGTTCGTAAGTCGGGAGGTAGCGTGTACAACGGCATACCCCACGTGCCGAACTGGGGCGGCAAAGCTTCTCCTGCGCACGACAACCGACCTCGATTTGCCAGTAGAACTAGTATCAAATCGATGGTTATGTCTGGGATCCGGTTGTTTATAACGTACAGCCATCCATCATATCACAGTAGCAGGGCATGCTTGGTGTTGGTCGGCACCCCCGAGGCTCAACCAGCGAAGTGCAGGAGAGTAGGCTTGAGGTAGACGATGAGAAATCAAAGGCGTAGGAAACAGTCGGTGAAACTGGAACAGTATGGACCTAAGCAAGATACTTTGTAGAGGTGGCTCTCAAAGAAATCATCAGCCTGCTGAATGTAAACGCTATGAAGCAGGACTGATTACCATCTTTGCGCATGGAAAAGCAGTTCAAGTCACTGATACGGCTATGGATACCGACTGGCGTCATCGATATGAAGAGAGCAAGCTAAATGATAAAGCGATATTTGAGATGCTAGCCACTACTCGATACCGCAACACGCGACCAGAAGACGCAGTGCCAGGCTTTATCTCAACCTTGGTCGGAACTTAATGGTTGAGAACTTGGGCCGGTTCCGTCAAAGTTCCCAATGGTTTCTTTGGCCCCTGACTAGCTCGTTGACTGCGAAATCAGTGCTGATGAGCTGCTGGTGCGTCCAGTCCACTTTAACTCACGGGAGGTTAACCAAATTGCCACGAGCCGACCACGGAAACCAAGCTGCCATTCAACTGATGACAAACGCGGCTCTCGACAGTCATTGAGCAATACTAGACCATCAACAATGTCGCAAGAGGTTTGAAGTGGTCGCGGTTATTCGGGTCCTGACAACAAGACAGGAAGGCCTGCACTCTCAGTGGAGTTGAGGTTGCTCTGTTGAGCCAAGCTTAACTGCTACCCGATGTCGGCCGGTTAGTAATCTCCATTTCGCCATACGAGAGCGGCTGCTAGAGGGGGCCGACATAACGAAACATGCGTCAAGAGTTGCTCCAGTACAGGACTCTTAAAGAGCTCAAGACTGAGGATATGAGCTTGTTGTGTAGCACTTAGCGCGGGGCACAGGGCTGCTCAAGTTCCTACTCATCAAACCAAGCGAGTAACAGAGCGGGCGTGGCGTGATCTGGCCACAGGCCGTATTTCTCGGTTGATGGCTAGAAGAGCGACAGTGCAGGTTCTTTCCACCCAATACTGCAAATGATCAGCAACTGGTGAGGGCCACCCTTCGGATACGAGATTCATCCATGGAGGAGCTCAAGAATTGCTGGCCGAGGAGGCACAGCTTTCAGCTCAACATTGTGAAGCTGGTCGAGTGAGGCAACTACCATGATGTCTGCCGATGGAGGTTAACACTAACACTGCAGAGCGTATCGGCGACTGCCGCAAGTGTACGAATACAAAGCTAGTTGGTCCGGAATGGACGCCGGGCACACCAGCTCTGGTGCAATCTCGCACAATTTGGTAGGCGCAATTTCCTTACTCCGTCACCAGTAGCCGAGAAGGGAGTGGCCACAGACGACGTCCCCAGATCTATCGCACGGGCTTGGTCGATAGATCGCGTTCGGCGGTTTTGCTGACGACTGACAGACGGCCTGACAGGTTCTCTGCCGTTGGCTCGTTCACCCAGGCGAGATGGAGATGGACGGATGGGGACGTTTGGCGAAGGGTTGCTCGGTCTCTTTCCAGATCAAAGTCTCTGCTGCGTATAGAGGCAAAGCACGGAGCACGTGGATTGCAAGTGGAGGAAGATTCATGACATGAGGCTCATGCAAAATGCCCACATGGGCAAGGGGTCGGCATCTCCTCTTTTTCGAGAGCCTGGAGCTGTGCAGTAAGTGCTCAGTAAGTCGACGACATGGCATACATAAAGGGAAGAGAAGTCCGTTCAGGTCTGGGGGTGACCGGGTGGAGGTTTGAAGATGGCGGAGGATGAGGTTCAAAAAGGGCAAGCACGTTTCGGTATGTGGTGCGAGCCTGCCAGCCTGCGCGGAGCGACAACCAGCGATTGAGAGACTTCTCTTACTAAGTCTTGGCTCGAAAGGGGCGCGAAGGGGGTGAGAAGGAATGGCCCACTCTCCGGTTATCTAAGGTATCTTAAGTACCTACCTTGACGACGGAGTAGGTAGGTTACGGAGAGGCCTCGGCACAGTGGAATCTGTGCCAGATACCGCGACAACTGGAGACTTTCTTCCAGAAGCAGAAGGCAAGACCGCTGGGTCGTGTGGCGTTACTGGCGTTGTGTGTTGAAGAAGGCGCTTTGCCGCGTTCCAGTGCGGCAGAAAGATACCGTTGAGAGTCGCCCGAGACATTGTGTTCCCCTGTAGGCTACTAGAACTAGCCCGCTGCCTACGCACGACGTGATTCATGCGGTCTTTTCTCGCCCATTCTTTCGTTGCACTAGAATGCGGGTTCCAGTTCAAGGAGGTGGCTGTGGCACAGCATTTGTCTCAGTCAATGACAGTCAGTCGGCTAAAGACAGGAAGAGGTAGGAAAATTCTGTCGAGTCTGGATCGAGTGCAACTACAAGTATCCGTAGGTACAGTGCACTGCAACCGATGGCCTGCAGCCTGTTTACTACCGTGACAGCACGTGGAATTAAGCTTGAAGGTTAAGATTGGATGACAGGAAGCGCGTGTGACATTGCGAGCGGCGGTCTCTCACCAGCTTTGGTGGTCGCTGAGCGCCAATTTGTCAATCCAGTGCACCTCTCTGCGCTCGAATTGTCAATGGCGCCAGAAAGCTCATCTCTTCATCGCCCAAATAGGCAACGCTCCCTAGCCGACCAACGAAGCGGTGCGGTCTGTTCTTTCCCCCTGTTTTCTGGAGATGGTTCCCAGTTTCCATCTGGACGAGTCGACGACAGGACGCGATGGAACTGGCAGCAAATGCAAGCGAAAGGGAAAAGGGCAAAAGGTACGTACAATGGAAATTTTGGGTACATGCAACCAATCAGAGACGATGCCTGAGATGTGAGTAGTGGGTACATTCAGATTGTGCATGACTTCATTGGTCGAGTGTGGAAACAATGCAAACTTATGCAGGTACAGACAGGTATAGATAGATGGGTGCGTATCAAGCAGCCTGGAGTGCTTCGTCGACCCCGGCCGGGCAGTCTGGGACCCCGTTGGGAACCGTGCACTGGTGCCCTCATTTCGTTTGGCTCCAAACGGCAGCAACGGCTTGGATGCGCAACATCTCTCATTGGTTCCTTCCAAGAACAAGTCAAGCTTTGCCGAGATGATGGCCCTGTCTGATTGGCGAGTTCATCCAAGGTCGAGGGGCCATGTCATTTTCATTTCCCCCCGGGCCTCGAATCCTTGCGTCTCCTTAACCCCCGGCCAGTCTTCGACTCTTCCGAGTTCCAACTGCGCGATTCTCATCAAGCTCGTCGCATCGACGCTTGTCCGCCTCAACCGCCCCCCGGCTTAGCCAAGCATCACCGCTTGCCCATTGCCTAATGTCGCCATGACCAGCCAGGATCCTTGCGCCTGCCCCTCAAAGGGCCCTGGTCCACCCAGGTCCCCCTCGAGTTTCCCCCCGTTATGGCCAACAGCGTGAGGATCGCGCGCAAGGTTGCTGTCAACGGACCTCTGCCTTTTGCGGCTTGCCCAGTAGGCTGAACGATTCCCACCCCGGATACCTTGCTGCTCTCTCTCATTTTATCGTCGACCCATCCTGCCACCTCCACCCTCGCTCGTTCTCCTCTTTCTTTCTCTTGTCCTTGCACCGCATCCTTACGCCTTGCCCAGTCTCTGCTTTGAGACGTTCCGCTCTTTACACCGACATTCGCTGTCTAGTCATTCGCTTTCGAAGACATCACGTTCTTTACGAATCCAACACGCTCACGCGCTGTTGCCATTCCAATTCGCCATTTCCATGTTGTAGCATTGAATCCGAACGCCAAAATCCGACCGCCGTTGTCACCACATTGCGCGACGCGCCGACCACCAGGAATCAGATCCTGTTCTTTTTTGAATTGTCTTTGGAGGAAACCACGTCGACTCTTGTCGAAACCCCGCTTCCGAGATGAAGCTCTCTACCATTAAGGCTGCCGTGGGCTCGGCTTTGGTCCTGCTCTCTGCCCAACCCGCCGAGGCTCATGATGGAACTCACCGACACCTTCACAAGTTGAAGTCCGGTCTGGGCCCCAACGAGGAGATCGAGACGCTTGCTGAGAGGGATGTCATCAAGAGAACTTCTGATGGCAAGGCCATCTGCAGTTTGCCCAGCGATGGCGATCTCGTCAAGGTCCCCGGTGCCATGAACAATGGCTTTGCTATGAGCCCCGATCAAGCCTGTGTTGAAGGAAGCTACTGCCCTATCGCCTGCAAAGCCGGCAAAGTCATGGCGCAATGGGAGCCCGATTCGACCTACACGTATCCCTCGTCCATGGTAAGAATCCCTCCGACTCCTCGCACGGCAGCTCGCAGGCTAACCAGCTCAGAACGGTGGCTTGTACTGTGGTTCTGATGGCAAGGCCTCAAAGCCCATCAAGGGCTCTCCCTACTGCGTCGATGGAGCAGGTACCGTTGAGGTTTACAACAAGTGTGGCAAGACTTTGTCCTTCTGCCAAACTGTTCTGCCGGGCAACGAGGCTATGCTCATTCCCAGCGTCATTGACAAGTCAATCACCCTTGCTGTTCCCGACCCTAGTTACTGGTGCAGCACCAGTGCTCAGTGAGTTCACTGTCTCGAACATGGGTCAAAACGAAGAGACTAATGATGCCTAGCTACTACATCAACCCGCCCGGAGTTACGGATGAGGGTTGTATCTGGGGCGACTCCTCCAAAGCAGTTGGTAACTGGGCTGCCTACGTCGCGGGAGCCAACCAAGACGGTCAGGGCCGAACTTTCGTCACTCTCGGTTACAACCCCATCTGGGAGGGTTCCGCGCTCAAGAACACGAAGCCTACCTACGGAGTCAGGATCGAGTGCCCTGATGGAGGCTGCAATGGCACTCCTTGCTCTATTGACCCCTCTGCCAATGCTGTTGGGGAGGTGACCAGCAACCAAGCCGGCACCGGCGCTGGCAATGCCAAGTACTGCGTTGTCACTGTTCCCAAGGGGAAAAAGGGTCGCATCATCGTCTTCCCTCTTGACGGTTCTGGAGGAAGCGACTCTGACGACTCCAACGAGAAGGATACCAAGGTTGAAATCAAGGTCGCCAAGTCTTCCGCTGCTCCATCGCCCACTCCCACCCCGACTCCCACGCCCACTCCTACTCCTACGCCTACACCGACCCCGACGCCCCCCTCGTCCTCTTCTGCTGCGCCTTCCTCCAAGGCTGTCAAGAGTTCCAGCTCCAAGGCTTCCAGCGCAGCTACCTCCGCCTCCTCGACGACGTCAAGTGCCCCCACTGTCATGGCCGGCATGTTCCACGAGAACGATAATTCGACAACCACGTCCTCCGACTCTGATGGCACGACTTTCAAGCCCGCCACCGCCACAGAAACGGAAGAATCAGCACCCGCCACGACCTCCAAGGAGAACGAAGGTGTTAGGCAAGGCGGTGGTGCCATTGCGGGCCTCGTCATCGCCTTCGTCGCAGCCACATTCCTCTACTGAGTGTGCTCAGTTGATAGTCGTATTCTTTCTTTCGCCATAGCCAGCAGCAGCAGCCCGTTCTTCGCTTCCACGTCCATGCTTGTCAACACGACGCAGCGCCGTCCTTTTGCTGCCACCAGCCGACCTCGATTGTCTCGGAACCAGCCCGCTCGGTCGGATGTACCCTTCCCACCCCTTGAGCAAGCTCGCTTGCTATGTACCTTTTGCGCTGCTGGCACTTCTTCGTTTCTACCCGCCGCTTACGATCATGCGGCAAATTTTGCATACACGCCGGTAACACATGGCACTTTCATCCATAACAACTTATCTGGACGTATACATCGAATCCCTGCGATACTATCGCGACAGTCTAGTGTTTATTATCTTAGCATCCTCGTGTTGACCACACGAGCAGGCAAAGCTTTCTTTCGGGTATCTTCTACTCGGCTCCTCTGACGAGGAGCATTTACATATTTTCGGATCGGCTTGCTTCTCATCTATACCCATTTACGCACGTATTATTTTGATCTTATATTATATTATTCGAGGAACATGTGGAGGAAGCTTTTATGTGAAATGGAATATCGGTCATGACATGGAGGGGAAGCGGGGTATCTAGGACCGGAAAATCTTATTCCATGAGGGGAACTGTATTATGTGAGAACGTGCTTGGAGACCGCGTGTATGAGCATTGCCCGAGAGCAACGGGAGGTGATGTAGAGTGGTATGTGGACAAGACATGATGGCTTTTCAAGCGTCCGTTGATGTTTGTTCTAGGGTAGTTCAGACCTTGATCAGGGGTTATTGGGCCTGTCACTTGCTATACGGTCCGATCCAACCAATCAACGAACGTTCATGCTCATTGATGTGTTAATGCCTCGATCCGATTTTCGCGTCATCGTTTCTATGTGTCCGCCCAAGCATTCGCCATCCTACAGCTGCCAGTAACAGAGTACCCTCTCGAGGCGACGCAGGCGCAGCAAGCCGCCCTGACTACAATGCTTGCTAGAGCATGACGGCAGCGAGCTTGCACGGTGTCATGAGGTACGACGTGGATGATAATATCTCAGGATATGCATAAATCGATGTTAGTTGGCTATCTTAAGGCATTGTCTTGAGAAGAGTTGCAACTAGTCAACCGCGTATATACAGGGTATTTCATTTTTTCCTCGATGCTACGTATTTCTTATGAGTTGCTCACCAAATCTAGATACAACGAACGAAACCAAAACCGCAAATGCTAGCTAAGGGGATGAAGGGGGGCAAACAGAATGAGAAAGAATTCCAAAGCAAAACGCCCAGGGTCCATGCAATAATCCGAATACCAAACCAAATGCTCGCTTGCCAGACGCAAGATGCCACGCTCTCTACAGCAATCAACAATGCTCACTCGCCAACACCATTACTATCCCCCAAGTGCTTCTCCTACCAGCTTACAAAGCACGCTTCTGGATGTTGCACTTCTTCAAGCACTCGTCAACCCCAAGCGCAATGCTAGCAGGAATAGCCTTGCGCACGCGATCGATATCCGCACCAGCGATGCTCTGCCCAAACGTAGCAGCGATAACATCGTCCGTCAAGGCAAAGGTGCTATCCGCAACCTGTCCGGTGCCGAAATCCTCAGAAGCGAAGCTCGCCACGAACACGGCGTCGCCGCAGTCCGGGTTGAACTGCGTGTGCAGAGAGCCCTGGTAAAAGGGGGTCATCTGGAAGGGGCCCAGCTCGGTGCGGATGGCGCGGCGGGTCTTTCCGTCGGCGGCGAGAACGACACCGTTCTCGGGCGTCATTTCGGTGATGAGGCGGCCTTTGACGACGATCTGGAGCTCGGAGGAGCGGGGGTGGACGTGCAGGGTGTTCATGCCGCAGGGGCCGACGCGGCCTACGGCCATGCCCGCGCCGGTGCCGACTAGGGCGGGGAAGGTCTTGCGGTTGGCGGCGACGAGTTCGCCTCCTTTGCCGGGGTTTTGTTGGGGTTGGTTGAAGTCGAAGATGAATTGCTTGTCGTCGGGGAGGAGCTTGAAGCGGTCTGCGGCGCTGTTTCAAGTTGTTAGTATGTTGGGGAGAGGGGGAGGAGGTTGAGAATGAGGGTAAGGGACTTACGTGTCGGCGAGGAAGAGCTGCTGGGTGAGGGATAGAGTGGAAGTGGGAGCGGGAGCGGAGGTTGTCTGGCTGCTGTAGGGGGCTGCGAGGGCCGAGGAGGCGAGGGCCAGGGTGAGGGCGACGGAGCTGGTTGTGAAGTACATTTTGAATGTGTTCTTGTTGCTTTGGACGCTTGCTAGAGATGACGATGCCGAAAGAATGCTAGTCAAAGTTGGAAAGGAGACAAAGTAGAGGAGACTCAAGGAAAAATGAGATGATGTTATTATGCGTTCACTGTGTGATGAGATGCAAGAGAAGAAGCCATCATCAGAGCGGGATTTGATGTCTAGTTATATACTGGCATCCCATCTATTGAATGGGATGAACGTGAACAATTCAAGTTTGGTGTGCATAGTCTAATTTGGGATGGCATCCAACCTCCAGGTCTCATCCATCGTGGACCAAAAGCCATCCCGCTTGGTCTTGGAAGATGGCTAGGCTTAGCACTCGACCAACGTTCGGCTCAACTCACATCCTGTCCGCAGCAAAAAAAAACCAACTCACTCGCTAGCCCAGCTAAGGTAGCCTTTCAAGATGACAAGACCCAGACCAAAACGGACAGACACGGCTTCCACGTGCCATGGCTCACAAAGTTCCTCCTCGGGAACAGTGTAGTCCGGTAAGAATTGACAGGGCTTGGGATTCTCTTTCCTTCGTTATCAACTTGTCAGCACTAGCGCGGAGTTGGGTCGTTGCACTAGGTATGTTCATCGGCCACGAGGTTGGAGAAGCAGGATGGAGGATGGGGAATGTTGAATTGGTAATCCCGGTCGGCGTTTGTTTTTGGGGGGCGTCGGGAGAAAAGTTTCCTGCGGCCGCGGGTCTCTGATCCAATCACGCATAGGCTCAGCCCTGAGTAGCGCCACTGAAGATGCCTTTTCATTCGCTGCTGCGCTTCTCGGAGACCGCTACCCGGGACCCACATGTCGGCTGTGCAACGTGCACCCGCCAAACCGACCTCCCTCTCCCTCCGGCGCTTGTTGTCTTTGTCGTCCCAACCTAAAAATAACGGGGGAAGAAGACAAACAGGATGCACATGTTGTTCTGTTTATTCATCCCAAGAAAATTTGTTTGACACGAAACGAATGCCATTTCGTTTCCTCACATACCCTTGCACCGAAGGATGTTCAGCAGGGTCGTAACCCGGCCGGTCGGTCTTGTTTCCCTGATCTACGCCTCGCGGATCAGTGTCGCTCCGGGTCAGGTGGGATGCGACCACGTGGGCTTGGACAGGCGCCTGTGATGTTGGACAGTATTGCTGTTCATATGTTGTTGTCTCCTTTCGCACGGCGCCGGCGGGTATTGCTATTTTTATGAGCTCTGATTGTTGGCAGCTTTCACCTGCGTCATGGGCACCTTGGCCAACACCCAGAGTCAAGACTCCATAGCAGCTGTCTACGAGATGTGAACTCGACCCTGCTGTGAATGCTTAGTATTTGGGTCCTTGTTCAGATATTTGGGTTATTGGCAGCAGCCAGTAGATTACACAAATTACCATGGCCAAGCTTCATAAGCATAGTGCTTATCGGACCTAGGGAAAACAGCCGGGAATCTGAATACAGTCAGACTTAGGAGTTGAATTAGAGGGATGTTCTTCAGTGCTCCCTCAGCAAAACCCTGTGGTGTCGGCTCGGTCGATACCGAGATGACGACGACGCTAGACCGGTGGATCGGTCCTTCACCGACAAGAATCTGACGCCCTACCCACAGAGTCTCCATTGTGATCTGGGAAAGAGACACCCACGTACCTATTGGCTCCTCTGGCTTGAGAAGAGCTGGAGCTTATCCAATCCCCTCTGGGCTGGGTCCGGGGCCAGCGGGACGGGTTCACAATTCCTTCGGGATATCGACTTCCATAACTGTGTCGGTCAGCAAGGTAAGGTCATCAGCTTGTCGGTATAACCAAGACATGGAATCCTATACCGAAGAGAGAGTTGCATTGGCCTAGGTGTTACTCACCTTCGACCCCAACTAAGGACGCCTAAGTCGCTCATGCACAGATATCCGTCCCCAACCCTGCGATTACCACATGCGACCATACCCACTGGAGAATTCGGGATCCCGTCCGCTCTCCCATAGACAAGCCAGTGAGGGCCAGAGTAGTAGTCAGGTCGGTGACGACTGGCGAATGCCTGGTGTTGCATGTATTTCGTTATTTTGTTTTTGGTGAAGATTAGTTATGTAGTTCAGGTAGGGTGCTCTGGGAAAAGGCCTCTCTCTGTGATGCGATTTCTGCATAACTGAGCGAATACAACCTTTCTTTGGTACACAATAGAGAAACTAGGTTGAGCAGGGGACTTCTTCAAATCATACAACCTTTCTTGCTGGAGTCTTTGTCACGGCTACTCCGTACATATACGTTAAGCTTCATACCGCGTACTGTAATGCTATGTGTGAGCGTATACATTTATGCTTACTTTGATATTCGAAACTAGCTATTGCGGACTCTAATCTCATCATCATGCATACTCTTCATTTGCTCCAGAGATGGGTCATCCCCAACCCATGACCCTCCCTGCGCATCACCCTCGAAGAGCTGGGCGTAGACCTCATCTACGTTCGGCAGCAAATTGCCGGCCGACTTTGTGAATCGATCGAGTGCTTTCTGGAACTTTTGCGGTTTGGCCTCCCTGTCAACGAATGCTTCCGCAATGTTCTCAATCTCAGCCTGTTCTTGTGTCAGTCCTAGTCACCTGTCTCACAGGGGAAAACGTTTTATCGAGCCGTACATTTAGAGACGAATACGCCACTGCAGTCTTTTCTTCGACTTGGACGTAGAGCCGAGCAGTCGAAGTCTTGTCAATGATTGCCTTGAGTTTCGCAGCCTGTGCGTCTTCTCTGAGACTGGAAAAGAGTTCCATGGCCTGTGGAAAACAAGGTCA